TTATACATGCGTTCTCATAGTATTAATAATAAGGAATAAGGACATATGTAAATGTAATTAGTTAGAAAGAGGAGAATGGTGAAGTTGATGCAGGATTAAGAAAGTGATGATGAGGAGAATAATGAGTGTGGCTTCTGGCACACAAGCTATGTTCCCCAAGTTGTTAACCACGCCGGCGTAGCAGAACAGATCATGCATTATCTCTTACAACTCATACTAATTTCAGCTACCTGTAAATCAATCATAGTTTTCATCATTTTGGAAGATTTTTTCTTACTTTTTGGTACAACATACCATTAGCATGTTCTACTTTTTTGATTAACTTCCTAATACTTTTAAAATATTAAATAAAATATATTTAATATTTCAAAACATTAAAATATTTAATATTTTCTTTATTTTACATGAAAAAAGGTTATAATATGATTTAGAATTGTTCATCGAAACTCTTCTGTTGCCTAGATTTCCAGTCCAATTATTCTAGCTCAATTGGCATATGATTATATGGTATATAATTCCGGGACATGCCAACTTTAATTACATGTCTGAACATTAAAATCATTCGAGGTATATTATTAGATGTCTGAACATTAATTGAGAGTACATTAAAAATGAAAATTCTGTTTGCCCATATGTTTTTTTTTTTTTTTTTTATAATGGAAATGCTTGTCCTTACATTAGCATCCTGAAAACGTAGAACAATGTTATGTTGTATAGGTTTTTATACGCATTTTCTCATGCATTTTATATTGCTCCAACCTTTTTATATTTTGTCTTGGGAGAAAAAGCAAAATGAGAAGGACAAAATTACAAACGTAAAAATAAGGTCCCAACAAAATGTGCATAAAGAAAGAAATGAAAATAAAATTTTAGCCTAGAAAAGAAAAGTTGTCCCTAGGCATGTAAGTTAATTCCTATGTGATCTCTAATTACATGTTAGAATTAGGTTATGGAAAATTTGATTTGGCCTGCAACCACCTTTACAAAAATGGGGTGATGAGCTGGTTCTCTTCCTCAGAGTCCATCAATAATTTTGGTCCATTCTGCTCAAAGGTAAGTTGTCTGATCAGCCTGCTAAAACTGGAAAAAGTTCTTTTATCATTAATTTAAATTAATAATTTTTTATAATAATTAAAATTTGTATAAATAAAAAATATCTACATATCTAATATTTTATAAAGATTTAAACTATATATAACTGTCAAATTCATTTATATAATTTATTCATTATCTATCAATAAAGAATAAAGAATTCTCTAGTGGTCAATTTTCCCACAAGTTATTAATTATAGCTTCTAATTATTAAAAAAATATTATTGTAATACAAATATCAGGTGACTTTCATTAATTCAACTACAGCGATAAATAATTAAAGTTTACTAAAAAATTATTAAAATTATACGTAAAAGTATTTTATGCTTTAAAAAATACATATAAATATTCTGGAAAATAGGCACGAAATCTATTTTAATTTGCAAGATATTAAACTTATGTTTATTGTATTATTATTATTATTATTATTATTATTATTATTTTCATCGTTGTTATTTTAGTTGTGATTGTTGATTTTATTTTATTTTTTATCATTGACTTGTACATAGAATTGAGAGTATAGATATCATTTTATCTTTAAATGACTAACTCAATATTTAAAAAAAACATATTTTTATTTTTCACAAATTATCTTGATCTTTTGATTCTTATATTTGAAGAGTTTAATTCTTGGTCAACTTATAACTTTATTCTTTTTTTATTTTTGTCCCTCTCACTAGTTATATGTCATTACACATATCCTTAGATTAAGATAAATATTTCAACAATTTCACGTGCCTGCGAAGATCAAAACCTACACAATACATAAAATTAAAAAGGATTTACTTGAACCATGACCATACACCATATGAAAGACTTCAGATAAATTATATATATATATATATATATATATATATATATATATATAAATATATATATATATATATATATATATATTTTACATAGATATATTATTATTTTTAAATTTAACTATATATTTATAAAACTATTATAAGTATTATTATTCGTGAAATCTATTTTAAATTCTAAATCAAGAAATAAATTATACTAATATACCATTTTAATTAAAATATACTAATTGTGTTATCTCTTATTTATTATTTTACTTATAAAAAAGTTATACTAATACTAGTAAGGTTAAAACAATTAATATCTTTATATTTTATTTAATAGAAGTGTTTAAAATATATCAATATTTATTAGATTAACTATGTTTGACATAATAAGAACGTACACAGTACAATAAGGCACACATGCAAGGAGAGAAGGTTGGCCATGAAGTTATGCGCAAAGTAGAGGATTTTTTTTTCATACATACATACATTAATACACATATATATATATATATATATATATAAACAATTTTAAACGAAATTATTATGAGATAAATCTAGGTGTTTTTCTTTGAATGTTGTAAGGTTTTAAAATAAGTTTCACTTTAATAATTAATATAAACATCAAAAGTTGACATTAAATATCAATAAAAATTACTTTGATCGAAGAATAATATAACGGAACACTTAAACTTTGTCCATTAGTACTGTAAAAAAAATACACTTAAATAATAAATCAGCCTAAGCTACTTTATTTATAAAGCTAAAAGTTGTGTAATATATTTTTATTATAGTATTTAAATAAATTTTTTGATTTAATTTGTTTAAAATAATAAAAGATTAAATTTAAACTTAAAAAATCTATTTATTTAAAAAAGTGGACTAGACTTATAAAAGTATGTTAATATCAATACAATAAAAATTTGTAATATAATAGAACCAAATTTATATGTTTGAACTTTCACTACACTTAATTTTTTTTTATTTTATATTTTCTATTTATACAAAATCAATAGATAAAAAATAAAAATTCTAATAACTGTATTTTACCTGTTATTTTAGTTTGTCTTTATTGTATATTATTTAGAATATTTCAAATAAAATATATGAATATTTATAAAGTATTTTTTTTCAATCATATTATTCTGTTTCATCAATTTATGTCTCAATATAAATGAGTAACAATATGTTAAGTTGTTTATTTTATGTTAATTTTTTCTTTTAAAATTTAAATTTTAATAATAATGGAGTAAAATATTTTTTATTGCACAAATTAAAAACAAGACCTGTACACATATTTAAAAATAGATTTGTTGATTTATTTAAAATTAAGCTTATTAACTTGTTAATTAATTTAAAATAATCTTTTAAATAGATAGATTATATCAGACTTTTTAAAGAATTAGATCAAACTTATAAAAAAATTATAATAAATAATAGACCAAAGTTATATTTTAACCTTATAGAACAAGTCGATTTATATATCTAAAGTTTGATCTATATTATTTTTATTTGTATGTATATTTGGTACTAACTTTCTAAAACACACATGAACCTATGTTCTTAGGTATGAAAAAAGACATTGACTTTTGCACCAACCACTATACTAACAAGTTTATTTATAATATAAATAACAAATAAATTTTATAGTATAATTATTTTAAAATTATATATTTAATAATATGACACATTTATATATATTATCTATATTATTTTGTGTCATCAATAACAAAAATATTATATATATGTATATAATATATATATTTTTAATTTGTATTAATTTATACAGTTTAATATACAATTTTTTTCATGTATTTTTTCATACAAAATAAAAATAAAAATAATTTCAAATAAGATGAGAATCAAATCCAAATAAATATGATTATTTAACACTTATATTTTTCAAGACTTTTTTTAATATATGATATGCATTTATTAAAACTCATAAGTGTGAATTATATATAATATAAACAATTTTAAAAAAATTTAATAGAGATAAAATGACATAATTTAATTAATAATTCACTTATTCAACTTTTAAATCATTGATCCAACAACTTACCAATTTGATGCGATTTTTTAAAAATATGGTTACACCAGTTTTTTTTTTCATTGTGGTCATTTTTTAGGTCACTGTTTATTTATACAACATTCTTAATTTTTACTATTCTCATTTTTAAAAAAAATTATATTATGAGAAAATAATTGAATAACACACTCCCAATAAAAGGACACACACATAATTGGAAGTGCTAAATTAATAGTTTTTATTCTTCTTTATGTTACAAAAATATGTATCAAAAATAAATACACCCTTTTTTAATAATAATAAAGGAAAAAGTGAGGTCATTTCAGGATGACAAAACGGACACATGTAGACGGCGATTTACAGCGTAGCTCTGCTCTGCACAAAATCTCTTTCTCTCTCTCTCTCTCAGCATTCAAAGTATGTCACTCATGTCTCATGTCTCATGTCTCATGTCATGTGTTTGCATTTCACCTTCTACACCAAATTGCCACACCACACCATTGCATTTTTATTTATTTATATAATTTATAATAATAATAATAGTAATAGTAATACATACTACAATAAATAAATTAGAGTTTGAAATATTTATATTTATATTTATATTTATTGTCATTCTGTCTTCCCTTGGCCATGTCTCTATCTCCATTGGTCACTCAAATAAGTAACCAACAAACCCAACCTCTTCTCTTCTCCAAACCATTTTTGCACTCTCCATTTCGTTGTTTCGGTGGTCCATTCGGTTTCACACCCATTTTCATCTTTTCCTTTCATTCTGTGCCATCCTGCTACCACCCAAATGCAAGAGAAATTTTGCATTGAAGTAAGCATGAGACCTTTGTCTTAAAGCTTTCAGCTTTGTCCAACTTTTTCCTACCATCACAAAAGGGTCGCAATCCATTATCCTTTTTTTCGTTGCTGAAAACAATTGTCTGAACTCGATCATTGTGGCACTTTGTTTCCATGCCTATGTTTACGATGATTGGTTGTTTGTTGTGGTGACATTGTTATATTCAGTTAGGTTTTGCTTTTTTATTGTTTAAGGAACCGTTTCGAGTTTAACTCTACCGGTTTTCGCTGAAATTTTTTCAGGTTCTGATGGTAATGATATTTTGATTATCCTAAACAGAAAAGTGTGCGTCATTATTTGTTTTGGTTGCTGTTGTTGTTTTATTTTGTTATTTTTTGCTGGATGTTCAGTGTCTTGGGGGACTGGTAAAATACATATGACTATAATAATAGAGAAAAAGAAAGGTTTGGATCTTATTTGGGGCATCTCTCTCTCTTTGTTTTCTAGTCGTCGATGATGTTTTTGATATTCTAAAGCAATCAAATGGTGGTTGCTATAGTGATTACTTATCTGTATGTCGCACCACATTTTCATGCATTTTTTCTTCTTTAGACTCTTTGCATTATTGATATTGTTATTATCACTATTATGTTCAACTTTTGATGTTGATTCTGGGACTGTGCAGGGTAAATATTGATACTGAATTTTCAAGGACCCGGGAAGCCAGATTTCCTCTCTACCTTTAGTCATATCATCAGTGTTTGGAACTCTTGACATGTGAAGGACATGTTACTATTTCTGTGGCGGAATCTTTGGCAGGGGGGTTCCTCTAGAGTCTTGTCAAAAGTAAAGCCAACTAGTTGAAGCCAAATGTTTTGACTTGTGGAGGGTGACTTGAAGACTCCGTAACACAGCAAGTGTTTGTAACTGTTCTCTTGTAGTGGATTGTCTCACAGGTCTTCGTATGCAGTGCTTTTAACCTTGTTAAATTTCTGAAACTTGAGATGAATATTACTTGGTAAGCTCGGGGGATACAATGTCTTGCTTTCTGAGCCAAAAGGGTATCTGATTCTCCACAGATTTGATGCTATTTTGGGGACGTACTTGCAGAATCCTTCCTGTTGGTGACCGAAAGGCACGGTTTTGACAATGTTTACTTGCCATTCTGTAGCACTGAAGGTTTGTGTTCTGGTTAAAAGGGTCTTGTCAGTGGTTGTTCTGTGATTGCTTTGAGACGTGTTGCATGTTGGTTATATATACAATACTAGTGGGGCTTGACAAGGTGAGAGAAAGCCAGTGATTTTGAACATGTTCTTGTGTTTCTCCCTCTTGTTGTTCAGAATATAGGAACATGCGGGTTTGATGGTTATTGAGTGATATCTGTTGAGCAAGGCAGTTTTTGTGGGATTGTTCGTACTGATGAGTCGAGAACAACAGAAACGAGGGAAGCAAGAAAAGGGTTCCGATGGTGCTGAAAAGGTTATTGTTGCTGTTAAGGCAACAAAGGAAATTCCAAAGACTGCTCTTGTTTGGTCCCTAACTCATGTTGTGCAACCTGGTGATTGCATTACCCTACTAGTGGTTGTACCTTCACAAAGTTCAGGTCCTTTTTTGCCTCCATTTGTTTATCTCTGTGCTCTTTTGGTTAGATATTGTTTATTGGCTATGGTCATTTTACAAGTAACCAATTTGTTGGATCCTATTCAACTTGTCATTCCCTTTTATCATGGGATGATTATTTTTACATGGTTCTTGAAGAGCATACGATATCTGGTATACCTGACTTTTATTTCAGCTTTAAGTCTAGATCTAATTAACCTTCTCCCTGTTATTGTCTTAGATGTTACATTTGAAATTTCACTCCTCCTTTATTATGTATACCCAACTATTATTCTGCACATATGTAGGCCGAAGATTATGGGGTTTTCCAAGGTTTGCTGGTGACTGTGCCAATGGTCACAAGAAATCTAATTCAGGATCAAGTTCAGAACAGAAGAGTGATATTACTGATTCTTGCTCTCAAATGATCCTCCAGCTCCATGATGTCTATGATCCTAACAAGGTTAGTAGCCTTGATTCTTGAAGGGCTCACAATGAATGTTGTGTTTGCATCCATTTGCCAGCCTAACAACTTTTCAACAGATAAATGTGAAGATTAAAATTGTTTCTGGATCACCCTGCGGAGCAGTGGCTGCAGAAGCCAAGAAAGTCCAAGCCAATTGGGTCGTATTAGACAAGTAATATTCTATCATATTTTCCCTCACGAAAAGGCATGCTATTGTAATATGAAACAAATTTGATGAAACCTTAAATTTCGGGTTTACTATTTTATTGATCTGTGATTATAATTCTGTCTGTTATTTGGTACTTTGGTGTTTCTTGCTTTGCAGGCAGCTAAAACATGAGGAAAAACAATGCATCGAAGAGCTGCAGTGCAACATTGTGGTTATGAAGCGTTCCCAACCCAAGGTACTCCGCTTGAATTTGGTTGGATCAAAAAAGAAAGATCTTGAAGAATTATGTCCATTACCTTCTGAGCAAGATGAGGTGCCTGGAAAACAAACCAAGAAGAATGATTCATTGAATTCCATTAAAGGACCAGTTGTCACTCCAACTAGCAGCCCTGAGCTTGGGACACCGTTTACTGCAACTGAAGCTGGTACTTCATCAGTTTCCAGCTCTGATCAAGGAACTTCACCATTTTTGATCTCTGAGATGAATGGTGAATCAAAGAAAGAAGAAACTATCAAAGAAAATCCAGAATTTGATGATTCTATATCAGACACCGACAGTGAAAGTTTGTCCACATCTTCAGCTAGCTTGAGATTCCAGCCATGGATCACAGATTTACTTTTGCATCAACGATCATCACAACCTAAGGAAGCAAGAACAGAGATGTCTCATAATAGGCTTCAATCATCTACCACTAGAGCTTTGCTAGAAAAGTTCTCAAGACTTGATACAGAAGCTGAAATTGAAATCTCAAACTATAAGACTGATGTGGATTTCATTTGAAATGTAAGAGAAGCAATAGCATTATCTAGAAACACCCCACCTTGTCCACCTCCGTTATGTTCAATATGTCAACACAAGGCTCCTGTTTTTGGTAAACCTCCTAGATGGTTCAGCTATGCTGATTTGGAGCTTGCCACTGGTGGATTTTCACAAGCCAATTTCTTGGCAGAAGGAGGATTTGGATCTGTTCACAGAGGGGTTCTACCGGATGGACAAGTCATTGCTGTTAAGCAACATAAATTGGCCAGTTCTCAGGGTGATCTTGAATTCTGCTCAGAGGTAGAAGTCCTGAGCTGTGCTCAGCACCGAAATGTTGTTATGTTGATTGGGTTTTGTATTGAGGATAAGAGAAGGCTATTGGTTTATGAGTACATATGTAATGGATCATTGGATTCTCATTTATATGGTAATTTCTTTTTTCTTTCAGACTAAATTTTGTCATGACAGTCATGTTTTTGAAATGGTTTGGACTTGCTCAAAGTCATTCAACATGCAATTTCATGTAGTCCATAAAGGGCCAAGGTCATAGGTTTCTTGAAAAGTTATGCATCATCTGATTTTTGGGGAAGTTGATTTGATGTAGTAAATTTATTTTTGAATAGCTAATGATATCCAAGCCCTTGGACTAATAAATAAAACTTAGTTTCTTATGTATTTCCAATAGCTTGTGTTCATGTTTTTTAGATTTTGCTGAATAGTTTCATAGTATCCCAAGCCATGGGATGATGTAGGAATTTTCTTGTTCTTGAAGGCTGTAGTAAATAGTACTACGGAATATGTAAATACAGTGATTGCAATAACATATAGTATAGGATACATGTTACTGATACTGTTTTGAGTCTCTTGACTGTAATCTGTAAACTGACATGTTACTTGGAAGTTTTTCAGGGAGGCAGCGAGAACCATTAGAATGGTCTTCCCGGCAAAAAATTGCTGTTGGTGCTGCTCGAGGGTTGCGATACCTTCATGAAGAGTGCAGAGTGGGTTGCATTATCCACCGTGACATGCGGCCAAACAACATTCTTATTACTCATGATTTTGAACCACTGGTAGGGTTGTGTTTTTCCTGCTTTGTGCTATGCAGTTAGCAGTTTAGTTTACAAATGGAAGGCACCACTGGTTCATCTATCTTTATTGTAAAAAGTTTTCGATCCGTTAAATAATTGTGTCAATTTCTGCAAGGTTGGTGATTTTGGTCTGGCAAGGTGGCAGCCTGATGGTGACACAGGAGTGGAAACGAGAGTAATTGGAACATTTGGGTATGCGGTGTATTAGTCCTTAATTAGTTTCATTGTCTGGTTAGTCTATACGATATTAACAATGCAACTAAACTTTGCTTGTGCCATGTAGGTACTTGGCTCCTGAATATGCTCAAAGCGGCCAAATTACTGAAAAGGCTGATGTTTATTCCTTTGGTGTGGTATTAGTGGAACTAGTTACGGGACGAAAAGCCGTCGATCTCAATCGGCCCAAGGGACAACAGTGTCTTACTGAGTGGGTAAGTTAAATGATATTCATATCTTATATCTAATTTATTATGATTTTTAATTGTGATATTGTCATCTTTTTGAGTGTGTAAATGTCATTAATGAGAAACATGATACTCTGATAAATTGTGGGCAAGAAGTTTCTTTCAACGTTCAGGCCTTGCCTTGAGTAATTTATTGTGCATTTGAATATTATATAGGCACGACCACTATTAGAAGAATATGCCATTGAGGAACTGATTGATCCAAGGTTGGGAAGTCACTATTCGGAACATGAGGTCTATTGCATGCTACATGCTGCCTCCTTATGCATAAGGCGAGATCCTTATTCTAGACCACGCATGTCACAGGTAAGGAAAATTTACCTGATATCTCTTATGAAGTCACTGTTGATGGCTAATAAACTCTTTTATTATGCTCACCACTTTTGGTTTCACCACCTGATCTTGATGGCATATTTTCTTTGTCCAAGGTTCTGCGAATACTGGAGGGTGATACAGTCATGGATCTAAATTGCATTTCAACTCCCAGTTATGATGTGGGAAACCGGAGTGGTTAATTTTGTTTTTTTGGCCAGAAACGCAAGCCATTACAGGGTGGTCCCTTGTTGTAAGAGTCACTGGAAGCGTTCAGTGAGAAGCTCTGAGTACAAGAAACCTTGCCTGTTGGGAAAGGAACAAGTCTAAGTGGACAACATGTGAAGATAGAACTTTTTTCACAATGAAGGTTGTAGTCTTATGCTAAATATGTTTTTTGCCTTACTATTTTGTAATTTGTAGTTTTCTTTCTATTTCTCCGCAATTTAATCTAATTTTGCATGTGTATAGTAGGGTAAGTAATATATATAATATATAGAAGCTTTTCTGCCTTTGAAATTCTTTTGCGGAAATTATGCAACCAATCCTGTGTCTATATGACCTTGATGATGATGAAACGAACTATTATTGTCAAATGCAACAAAAAGTTTTCTGTATGGTGTCTCTACAATGCATGTGTTTTCATGCATTCTTTAAAGAAGCAAACAAACTTGGGCCGAGGATTGTCATTTTAAGTAGCAAGAGACAATGATAGATGAAGTGTAAAAAGGTGAGGTGTCATTTTTTGAAGCATGTAAAACAGAAACCTTGGTTGGCTGATGATGACAAGCCTGAGCCTGAGATGGGGTGAACGTGATCAAGCGGCATGTCAAATGGTTATGTTTTGGATACACGTTATCCTCGGGCAACCCGTCTTGTATGGGTCCATGGATCTTAGTTTTATGTATGTTGTACTAAATCAATATTGCTACAACTCTTGCAGAATCCATAGGTATCTGTTCCTCTAGTACGTTCAAACCGTATGGTACCACATCATTATTGCTTTGTCTTTTTTATTTTTGGTATCAATGAGGTTTAAATTCTTGTTTAGTTTTTATACTGTTTTTTTTTTTCTTTTATTTTCAAATGCATTATTTTTACCTCTTCATTCTACTCTAACTATCATGAATAAGTTGTTATCGAGTGATACTTGATACTCTTAAGGATTTAAGTATGAGTTTTGTGTAAAAAAATGTGATTGCATTTTTTTTAAATCAAATGTGTTTAGTCAAATTTTTTTTAATGGAGATTAGTTATTTGTGAAGTTGATATATGTTTTGTATTAATAATATAATCATAAAAAATATAATAAAATTATAATAGGATCCTGATTTAGCGAGAAATAAGGATAATTTTCTTAACTCAAGATTATTTCCGAAGTTCAGCTTAAGTTTATGTATTTTTTTTATGCATTGTGTGGTTTGATAATTGAGTAAGAGGGGAGAAACGATGAGAAAAATAAAAGTGGAAGATTCCCTTATTTGGTTTTAGTTCAGAAAAAATGACGGATTTTTCATGTTTAGTCTCTACTCTCTAAGTAGTAGGGAGAAGGAAAAACGAAGTTACTAATGATGGAGGGGTAAGGGGTTAATTTGCAAGGAGAGGGAAGGAAAAAACAGGGTAATATGTTTTTAATTTTTATAACCTTGTAGGTATAAAAGAGGGGAGAAGATTCCAAGACAATTGAATTAAGGTAATCTAAAAATTACAAATCATATTAATGAATGTCAAATTCAATCATAAGATCATATGGTTAAGAAGATCAGTACTTTTCCAAGTAAGCTGTAAGTGTGATTTTCACTCAAAATCATCAATATCAAATAGAAATTGGCCCGTCAAATCTTAAACGAAGGCGTATCAAAAAGTGGTATTGGTACCATATTCGTAACAGCTACCATTGTGGATACTTTGCTCTTTGGCCGTACCCGTGCTTCCCGGAAGCTCATTCAGTACGCAAAGATTCCAGAGTTTAGTTCTCACATGTTTATAATTTTGGAAGATCAAATCTTTTCAACTGCTGAATGTGGATCATCGCATGCTCAATCACAATTAACCAAGCTCACCCAGTTAATCTTATCAATTAGATAGATATATGAAAATTTTGATCTTCACTACATTTATTCAGAGTGTATCAAAAGTTTCATATATCTCGAGTTAACTAATGAGAACTAAGAATTCAGAATAATGTTTGAATCGAAAATTTAAACAACTATAGATAAGTGAACAATTGCAGCGAGTTGATTAAAAACTCATTTACGAGAATGTGAGTTTGAGCATGCATAATTCTCATTTTTATTATAAGTTTTAAAAAAATATTTTTAGATGTCGTTTCTTTTTGTAAAAAATAATTGTAATGATTTAAGTTATTTCTATTTCCATAATAAGAGATGGAAAAATTATATTCTCATCAAAAAAATGTGACAAGTTACTATGAAATTTAACTATAACTTCTAATCTAATTTTAATTATTTTAAATTAAAAATATTCACATAAATGTTTAAATTTAACTAAATGTATTTTTTAAATATCCGAAAAATAATATTTCCACACCATTCTTCGTTTGGAATGGGAGTATTTTTATTTTTAAATGTTAAAGGATGTAATAGCAAAATAAAGTGTTTACAGAAAATAAAAGAACAGTATATTAGAAGAATGAAAATCATACGTAAATATTAATTAATAAAAGAAATTGTGTGGTTAGAAATTGTATTAGTAAACTCCAAGCGTGTGGTTCAGCGGTAGGGGTTGATCCACATTTAAGCAAGGTTAGGAGTTCGAATCCTATCTTGTGTATGCAGCCGCGCTAAATTTTGGGGCCAGCTATCCCACTCTTTGAGGTGCCTCCAAAGTAACGAGGAGATTAGTCACTGCTATCGACGGTGGATGCTCCATGAACCAACCAAAAAAAGAAATTGTATTAGTAAAGTTATGGTAAAAAGAAAAAAGTATTTGTTATGAAAACTTGAAGCAGTGGTTGGGTTTAGGGTTTTCAGAGTAGCCGTTTAGCTTGTTTGTTTCGATGGAATTCTTCTAAAAACTCCTTTCTCTAACACACGAATTACAAATTAATCAATCGATCGTATCTTCACTACACGAAACGAAGCTTTGCTTTACCATTCCTCATGGACGCTGAAGCGGGCCCTCCTCAAAACCCTACCTCAAGGTCAAACCTTTCCCCCTCACTTTCATTTTTCACTCTATTTTATTTCCATGATAATTTAAGGATATGTTCGAATCAAAATCATTGAATTTTTAAATTGCTTAATACTGATTACTGTTCTCCAGAAAAGTCACGCGTGTGAAAGAATATTCTAGTTACTTTTCAGTCTGTTTGTGGGGGCTAATGAGTATCTGCTATATATAATTGCCAGAATTTGCTGTATATAATGAATGATGGAATCGTCCATGTTTCTGAGTAGAATTAAGGGTGTGTTTGGTAAAATTAGATTATAAGCTAGCTAAAAGTTTATAAATTAGTTGAAAGCTTATAAGTTATAAGCTGGGAGCCGAAAAGCTAGAAATTTGTAAGTTAACTAATTGAGTTTAGTAAGATTAGCTAATAATCTAGTCGATAAATGTAAAAGAACATAAAATTGTTTTTATAGTGAGAGTGAGAGAATGACATGATAGGCAAAATAGTTTCTAAATCAAAAATGGTAAAAAAGATTTCAAGTAAATTAGTGAAGATAAAAAAGGAGAAAGAAAAAAAAAAGTTAACTTATGAAAATAAGCTATAAATTCCTAAAATAAGTTTGTGTAAACTCTCATATCAAACAATTTTATTTTAGTCAAACTAGCTTATAAGCTAGTCAAAAGAGTTTATATGTTGCCTTGTCAAATACACTGTAAATATATTGAAATCAGCGTATCTTAGTTTTTTTTTTGTTCCCTTGGGTATAATTGTTTCTTTGCATAGCTTGTTTAAAGAACAGCTGATTTCTTTCTACAGACACAAATGCTCGGCATGCTATAAGCAATATAAGAAAAAAGAGCATCTTATTGAGCACATGAAAACCTCGTACCATTCTGTCCATCAGCCTAGATGTGGGGTTTGTCAAAAGCACTGCAAATCTTTTGAGTCTCTGAGGGAACATCTTACTGGTTAGTTGTTTGTGCATTCAATTTGTCGTTAATGCTATTGCTTTCATGTATTAGCTCATTATTTAACTTTTTTTGTGCCCCTTTTCCATCTATGTTTTAGGTCCTCTGCCGAAAGGAATTTGTTCGAAGCTTTTCTCTCAACAGGGCTGTCAACTCTGCTTGGCACTATTTGATAGTCCCAGGTCTCTCAATGATCATAGAGAAACATGTTGCCTTTCTGCCCCTACACGGCTAGTAAGTTGATTATTGGTAACCTAAAGCTTTATATATAAAATAAAATGTGTTATGTGTACTATTCACCCTAAGTAACCAAAGAATCCTACTTACAGTCTGTGTTTCTTTTATGTTCTTATTAAGAAATTATGTTGTGTGTAGCATTGTTGCTAAAATTGTGTGCCACCTTGTAGGATCATGTGATCTTATGTGTCAGCCACTTTGTAAAACAGTCATTGATTGTTCTTTCTTCATTGAAAAAGTTGTTCATTCTCTTCCTTCAGAGATTGGGACAGAGTGTGCCTTTAAAATAATTTTTTTGTTGGCCCTAGTGTTTATCTCTTCTGTTAATGATTCTTTTTCAAATGGGTTTTAGTGTTTCTTTCTTCTGCTAATTATAGTATACTGCTATGACTGAATTTCAATTGAAGTTTGTTTAATATTGTGATTTAGTGGTTATTTTCTTTATCTTTGTTGGTTTTTGATGCATATGTATTATACCCAAGTATTTTTTAACAACATTGGTGTGTGAAACTGTTGCAGGGAACAAGCACTGTACCTGATATGGATTCCCAATTTGATTGTCAGTACTCTTCTGATGAAAACCATGCTGGGGGGTTCCCTGGAGCAGTTGCAATAGACTGTGAAATGGTTGGTGGTGGAAGTGATGGTTCACTGGAACTTTGTGCTAGAGTATGTTTGGTTGATGAAGATGAGAACTTAATCTTCCACACATATGTAAAACCTGGAATTCCTATCACTAACTATAGGTATCTTTAATTTATTTGTTTGTTTTCCTTTTACTGTCAAAGAGTAAAGTGTGTAGGGAGAAAAGAGTGTTGGGGTTGATTTTGCTTGATTTTCAGATATGATATAACTGGATTGACAGAAGAGCATCTCAGAGATGCCATGCCACTTAAGGAAGTTCGAGAAAAGATATTGCAAATTTTACACAATGCAGAATCAATCAGCAAAGTTAGACTGGATGGTGGAAAGGCCAGGCTTCTTGTGGGGCATGACTTAGCACATGACTTATATTGCTTGAATATGCATTATCCAGATCATATGCTGAGGTAGACGTTTCTTGAGTAACTTACTTATGCTAAATCATTATTGACAACCATGTCTTACACTTTTAGAGTTCGTTGTGATGATGAACAAAACAACTGTTGGAAATTCCTCTGAGATTTTGTCCCTTTTTATTTTATCATATACATACATATACAAGGATACAAGGAAATCCCTGAATTTTGAACTATGTAAGTTTTTTTGTTATCCTAAATAAGTTTCCAGACTTTAAAGATCCATCCTATTCAGTTACTTGGATTTTTACTACAATGAATTACGGCAGGTTCATTGAATTTTATTTTTGAATGAATAGTTTCTAATTTGAGAGCAGATCTTTGTAATTTTTAGAACTCATTTTTTGTCTATGCTTTTATGTTGCAATGCAGAGACACTGCAAAGTACCGTCCATTGATGAAAACAAACATGGTCAGCCATTCGCTCAAGTATCTAACAAGAACCTATCTCGGGCAAGTTTAGTTTTTCCTTAATCTTTTTTCAGTTTTAAAATTGCTTCTTCCAATTTCAAGCTTTCCTTTTGATTTTAAAATCAGATTGGCACGATCTAATCTGTTCCACATTGGTCATCATTTCAATTTCGCATAATGTTTTATCCCATCTCAAGTATTATTATTCTTTGGCTTTACAGTTATGACATCCAATCCGGCACTCATGACCCGTATGAAGATTGTATTTCTGTGATGAGACTATACAAGAGAATACGAGGTCAAATTCATGCAGAGGAAGATCATAGAACATTGACTCCGAGAAACAACATTGTTGCCATACCTGATAGCTGGAAATCCAAGGAACTTGAAAACCTCACCCCAGATGAACTTTATGCCATTTCAAAATCCGACTACAAGTGTTGGTGCTTGGATTTGAGGCCAAGATTGGCAGCCTGAGTTACTCTCATTGCAATGATCTTTTTTGTATATACATTATCTTTCTATGCACCGTGTTATCCTCTGGACAAGAAAACAATGAGAAAAGATAGGTGCTTAGTTATGGAGCTTTTGTAGATATCTACACCGCGTTGTTCAACTTCTTGTCCTTGTTCATCATAAATTATAACGAAAACACACCTTCTCTTTATGATGAAGGCTCTAACTACCGACACTAACATAAATAGATGTAAGCCTTTGTTCTTGATCCAGTTTCAACGGAGCTACTCTTGGATCGAAGTTGCTGATTGGTACAAGGAACTTTCGTTTTCAACTAAATTGTTTTTGTGAGATTTTTAGGAATAAGGCTTTTGAGAAAAAAAATATATAGTACGTGTATAGTTATTATTTTACTTTATTCAAAATACTGTTTATCTGTAATTACTTGGGAAAAAAAATTAGTAACTTGAGTAATTAATTACTATGAGGAAGTTTCATTCATATTTTTTAAGGTGAAAAAGTTTTATTCTTATTTATTCATAAATTTGTATCTTAGTATTTGAAGAATATACTATTTTCGAAAAATATTTTTACATTCTTTTACAAATACGTGTACTATTTTTAGTCTCGTGTTATTTCTTAGGATTTAAAAATATTCTTTGTTCTAAATATTACTTAATAATTATATAAGTCCTTTTTGTTCAAGTTTTTTACCACTGGCTAAACATAATTTTTTTTTTTGCAAAATAGCTATATTTTTTAATATTAACAATATTTCGATATAGCTTTTTTTATGTATAGTTTATGCTAAAATTATGATGAAAGAAATTTGAAACAGAAGCAGCTTACGTCAATGTTAGCATTGGTTCAGGTCGTCAATCTCATGGAACGCATGCCAGACTAAAAAAAAAAAAAAATTTATTTTATTGAATATATAATAAAGATCGATTACTATATTTATTAAGTAATTTAAAAAAATTGGTAAGATCTCATTTAATTTAGAGTTATGTACAATTTAGCTCTCTGCGACAATTATAAAATCACATCTTCGGTTACTATTCACAGAACTGGAAAAAATTAAAATTGAAAAGAAAAATTATTATCTTCCCGGAAACTTTTGTTAAACGATGTAGTAATAAATCGCAAACCAAAAACTAAAAAAGAAAAAAAAAAAAAAAAAAAAAAAAAAAAACCAAACCCCTAAAAAATCAAGAAGAAAG